TTTATGTAGAGCTGAACTTAGTGGAATGGCCTCGTATAGTAGGTGTCATGTAGGACACAGTGGCACTGCCTCCACAGTAACCCAAGCTATGTGCTTCAGGTACACCCCTGTTCAGTTATAGTTGAGCCTTGATTACTGTTGGTTGCCCCTTTGAGGATCAGCTGCCACTAGAACAGAGGAGCTGCTGTGCAGGAGTGGAACCTACTGAACAGGACTTGCTTCAGTGAGGCTTTGGTGCCCACTAAGTCTGCTGGTGATTGTGTCCCTTATGGAGTTCAGGGCTGTAATCCAATGTAGTCTGAAGCTGTTCGCTGTGTACACTGGCTTTAGGGTCTCACAGGAGCTTTAAAATCAGTGACTGTCTCTGCCTTTCCTTGGGCCACCCAGCACATGCTACAGAAGAATCTGCAAATGTCTTTTACTAGTGCTGGGCTTGAAGGTGCTCAAGAAAGGTCACATGTGAACCAAGGCCAGCTACTGCTAGTGCTGGGCCTGGGGCCACATAGAAAGTGGTACAGTGTGTGCAGAGGCCTGATGCTGCTTATTTGAGATTTTTTAGTAGTGTCTGAAGTGTGAGGCAAGAGAGGACACATTTATGAAAAAGCCACTGGAAATGACATGGGGAGGTGGGGCCTCAAGTTGAGTGTGGTAAGGTATAGGGAATCACCTGGGCAGGGAAGACAGTGTGAGACAGGTTAGGTTGATGGAGATCCAGGTATGCTGCCTGCACTCTCTCTGGAAGGGGTCTCAGAAAAGGAACAATGTCCTCTGCCAGCATTTCTTCTGGCAGAAATCAGCCTGCTACCTCTCATTCTGATGCCAGACAATTCATTTCCTTCCTGTATGTCCCTAGTGATTTTAAATCTGTTGTCCCAGTGCGGGAATTCAGAACCAATGAGCCCAAGTAGGGTTACTCACAGTCTCTTTTAAAAGAACTTCTTGGGACTCCAGAAGCCCTCCATTTTATTCAGCCACAATCTCCACTGGTCTTCATAGCCAGAAATAATTGAAACTTCTCTTCTTGCCATTGGAATCCTGGGCTGCATGTCTTAGTATGTGGTGGGACTGCTTGCTTCTCAGCGGGGACCTCTGCAGAACAGATATCCTCCCGATTTATATCTGTTGTATGTGGGAATGCGACCAGCTTGTTCTGTGTCTCTCCTCCTCCTACCAGTCTTGATGTGGCTTCTTTAAATCCCTAGCTTTAGGATATTCATTCAGCTAGATTTCAGGTGGCTCTGAGTGATGCTTGTTCTGTAGTTAGTAGCACTTTTGACATGGTTGTGGGAGGATTTGAGTACCACATTTACTTATGCCACCATCTTGATCAGAGTTCCTTATTGAAACCTCACAAAATTAATAATAAATTCCCCACATTTGCAAGAATTTTGATAAATATATAACATTAATACCATTTTCTATTCAAAAGACATACAAGTAGAAATTATTTTGCTTTTTAAGTTTCTGTTTGCAAGAACAACAAATCTTACAAGGTACTTAAAGAAAATTATAAACAAATAGTTACAAGGCATATATGGGAAACTACTTTAAGAAATTATTGAGTGACATAGACGAAAATTTAACTGGCATGAGGGATATGCCACATCATTAATAAGAAGACAAATAAATGTAAGGTTTTTAATTTTCTACCCAAATTAATCTATAAACACAACAGAATACCAAAGAAAACCTAACCAGGTATTTTTTTTGAACCTGAAAAGTTATTTTTACTCTTTGTTTAGAAGGTCAAGTAGTAAGGCTATCTAAGAAAAAATAATTAAAAAGTGGTTGGGAGATTGCCTGAACACAAATCATGAAATCCAGTTGGCACGTGGGTAGACAAATAGATACACAGAAATTCATACAAAGGCTGGAAATGAACAATATAAAATATGTCATGTTGCATAGGTAAAATAATGAGTGATTCAAGATATTATTTTGTAGAAACACACACACACACACACACACACACACACACACACACACACACACACATATTGTACCTGAAGCCATACACAAAAGAATATACCAGATGTAGTAATGACTTAAATGTAAATAGCGAATCTTTCAAGTTATTAGGAGAAAAAATATAGAAAAAATATATTTATAGTATTTTGCTAGGGAAAATTTTCAACAAGATTCAGAAAGCACATTGCCTAAAGAAACAGATGAATAAATTGAATATGAAACTTTAGTGCACTGTGTACAATGGTAGACTTTGTGGTGATGGTACCGTGAATGTAGGCATATTTCGAAACTCATGAAAAGATTTACATTAAATAAATGCAATGTTTTATATATAAACTACTGTCTCAGCCCATGAAATTTGTAAGCAGGTGCCGTCCCTAGGCCTGCCCTGTGATCAGGGCCATCTTCCCTGGCTGCTCGCAGCCAGCCTCTCCCCCCACCACAATCCACCCCCAGTTCCAGGTTTTCCATCAGGTAATGGGAGCCTGCCAGCAGATGGGGTAACCAAGAAGTCGTCCATTCCACCCGCTTGTCAGGCCTGCCACTGCCACCTGTTGCTCTCTGTGTGTGGGGTGACTGGTGCAGCTGGGACCTTGGCCTGGTGCCACCTGCGTCCCCTGCCACCCATCCCTGGTTCCCTGTTCGCCATTGGGTGATCGGAGCCTGCCGCCAGGGAAAGAGATCGAGGGATGGTCAGTGTACCTCACATTGACTGGTTGAGCAGTTATTCTGGTCATTCATTCTGCCATTAGGATCAATTTGCATATTGACCTTTTATTATATAGGAGAGAGGCCTGGTGCGTGGTTGGGGACTAGCCAGCCTGCCCTGATAGGGTTCTGGATAGGGGTGGGGTCCCCACAGGGGGGAGGGGCCAGCTGGGGTGAGGAGCATTGAGGGGTCTTAAGGATGACCTCACCCCTAATTGGGCTGGGGCTCTCTACTGGGGGGCATGGCCAAGATGATGGATTTGCAGGCCAGCCACATTCCTAATTGAGGTGAGGGTCCCCACTGTGGGGTGGGGCCGGATGGGGCTGAAGCGCTACCTCAGCATGTCTCTACTCATTGGTGTATGGCCCTGGCTTGTAGAGAACCCTCATGTGAAATCCATAAGGCATTTCAGAAATAAATGAATAAATGAATCGATATACATGCAATTCTGCTTTCTTCCCTACAACAAGCCTCCCTGTGCCAAAAATCACAAGATTGTGCTGCATATTGGATTGGGTAAGGAGCAACGTAAAAATAAAAACACACTGAGAAAAGTCTTACATTAAAATCTATAAGGTGGATTTTATTCTAATGAAAAAATAAAGTTAACAAATAGCCTACATCACAACAAGGAACTGGTGGTCCACGTGTCAAAATATAAGTTTGCTTTTAATAGTAAACAGTAATAGTATAGCTCAAAATATTTTATTTAGATATTTCCTGCATGTGTGCACGTTCATACATACACACACTGAATGTTTTAGTAACTCTGTGTTACTATTCTCTTAAGAAACTAAGGTAATATTCCCATCAGTATTTTTAGTAAATAAATTGATAATTTTGAAAGACTAATAGGCATTTTGTTATTAGTCTATCTTCCATCAATCATATCTACAAAATAAATTGGTTATGATGAGTTTATTTTAGGACGAGCAATTAAACATGTGCGTACAAAGAGCAGTGACTCTTAGGGCTTCCTGTGCTCCTCTGTCTTCAATTTTAACATCCTCCATATTTCATGAATCACTTTCTTAATTAATTTTTCCTTAGCACTTACCACACTCTCACACTATCCGAGTCACATAATGGTTTCATGTTTGTCTTCTCACCTTAAATGTGAAGCCTTGAGGTAAGGGACCATTGGCTGTGTTGACTGAACCCTTGGTGCCTAGAGCAGTGTCTAACATGGAGTAGGTCACCCAGATATATATGCTAAGTGACTGAATGAATGAATGAGATGGAGGAGGATTCTCACAAGAGAGAAATTTAACTAGATAACCTGCAAATAACTAACCTTGGCGATTTAATTTAGAAATATTTAAATTAAAACAATATTAATAACAAATAATAACATTGTGTGCTCAAGATGTGCTATGCAATTTCCACATTTACATTCACTTAATATTCAATGGTGTGGATGTATGTACTGTTACTTGTTTTGCCAACAGAGGAACCAAAAGCATGGTAAAATTCAATACCTTGCCCAAGAAAGGAAGGTTAAAATGCTATCAGACATCTGAGTCCAGAATCTGAGTCATTGGTCTCTACAGTAACCAACAAAACTAAATCATCTGGAAAGAAAGTGTTAGATACGAAAATATTTCATTCTGGTGGAAAATGTTTTCACTCCTAACAGCAGAGCTGCTTCTCAGAAACACATAGTTCCTAGGACTTATTTGATCTGCAGGATGGGGACAAGGATCACAATGGTTCAACTTCTCCAAATGCTATAGATTGAATGTATGTGTCCCTCCAATACTCAGATGTTGAAAACCTAAGGCACACGGTGACAATATCAGGATTTGAGGTATGGAGCAGTTGAACTGATCATGAGGGCAAAAGCCTCATGAATGGGATTCACACCCTTAAAATGGATTCCAAAGAGCTACCTCACCCTTATGCCAGGTGAGGTCATGGTGAGAAGTCAGCAGTCTGCAACCCTGAAAAGGGCCCTCACCACAAGCCAACCATGCTGGCACCTGGTTTTGCGCTTCCAGATGCAGAACTGTGAGAAATAAAGTCCTCTTGTTGATAAGCCACCCAGTCTGTGGCATTTTGTAACAGTACTGTGAATGGATTAAGACACCAAAGGATAAGTTGCTTTCCTGATCACACTCCCTAATGAATGAGAGATTCATTAGGGTGTGAGTTGAAGTGAATGCATATTTTCTCTTCACTTTCTTATCCTCTAGGCTGCACTCCCTTCCTACCCCAGCCTCATCCAGTGCTGGTGAAGGAAATTTTCCAAGGATATACACCCAGAGACACTCTGAAGTTAAGCAATAAGATTATTACTTTGGAGAAAAAAATAAAGACATGCATATGAATGAGCAATAGGTATTTCGTAATATGTGTACACACCCTGCTTAAAACGAGGTGGAACATGCTCTCAGTTTCAAATTGCACGCCAAGGCTAGGAGAGAAATGCCATGGCTGGTGAGTTTTGGGTTTTTTTTCTTGTTTTTGTTATTCTATTTTGTTTGTTTGTTTACTTTCTAGAAGGATAGGTCTTGGGGAAAATTTTGGGAAAGTGGCTGGCTTTTGGGGAAACCATATTTAGGTTCTGTGAATGTTTAGGTAAACTGGGTGAACTTAACTGAGGGAGAGGGAAGAAAGAAGAGGGAGGAGGAAGGAATGGAGAGAAGGGGCCTTAAAGGCTTAACTGAATTAATCTGCCAAAGGGTGCAGGATCCCCATGAGATGGGTACCAGCAGCTGCTGTCCCCAAGGGAAATAAGCCATCACTGTTTCCTTCTTTTATTATGCAGAGTTGAATAAACAGGAGGCATCTGGGACTTCAGGCTCTCAGTGAGCACCCTGGGTAACACTGAGGGAAGAGTGAGGGATGTGGGTAGCTCAGGATGACTGAACTGCGTGGAGAGGGACATTTTATGGATTACATCTAAAGGAGGCTATTGCTGCCGATCCGGTTTGGCTCAGTGGATAGAGCGTTGGCCTGCGGATCAGGAGTCCCAGGTTTGATTCCCGTCAAGGGCAGGTACCTTGGTTGCGTGCACATCCCCACTGGGGCGTGTGCAGGAGGCAGCTGATCGATCTCTCTCATCGATGTTTCTGGCTCTCTATCCCTTTCCCTTCTCAGTAAAAAATCAATAAAAAATATGTTAAAAAAATAAAGGAGACTATTGCTGACTTGAGAGGAAAATGAAGCTGTTTAGTAACAAGAGGGATTCTTTTGCTTCAAACAGACAAAGACCTGAAGGAGAAGAGGAAGGTTTTTATCCAATCAGTGACCTCGGGCACCATAAATGGCTTGTTGGATGACCTATTAAAGGAAAGAGTTCTGAACCAGGAGGAGATGGAGAAAGTAAGATGTGAAAATGCCACAGATATGGATAAGGCCCGAGCTTTGATTGACTCAGTCACTCGGAAAGGGGACAAGGCAAGCCAAGTATGTATCCATCACATCCGTGAAATCGACTCCCACCTTGCAGAGAAGATGGGGCTGCCCTCAGGTAAGGTCTACAGCTCAGACTAAAGTCCATGCAGGCCCCGTGTCTTTGCATCCACTTAGGATTTCTTCATTGGTCATGTTAGTTTGCAGACAACGTGTTTACACCTGGTTTCAGGGCCCCATTTCTAAGTCAGTGGCACTACTGTATATCCCCTGTCTTGTTACTCTTTATTCTTATTCCTTTAGCCTCAGAGTCCTTCTAATAATTAAAACTCACTTCCCATCCTGAGTATGTGGTAGCTCAGTTGTTGAAGTTTATGAGAACAGTCTGATAAACTTCATACCACATTCTCTAGTCCCCCTGGCAAGGCACTTTACTTATTTATTTATTTATGTAGTTAGTCAGCTAGTTACTTAAGTCTAAGAATTCCTAGAAAATGTTATAGCTATCTGACATGAAGATTTAAAGTCTGTCATTGAATAGTTTTATAATTTCTCTCCAAAAGTTTGCTTTCCAGAAGGAATAAAATACTTCAATGTTGGTGAAGCACTCAGAGAATAAATTCAATCCTGACAGAAAAGCTAGGATTTTAAATGTGAACTCTTTCATTTAATTTCCCTCTTGCATTTTCTTTGAGTGATGTTGTCCACTTGTTACAGAAAAACCAGAGAAGAACCAAACAGCGCTCTGAGAGTTTGGAGTTACACTTTATTCACCGCGGCGGGCTTAGGGAAATGAATCCAAATCTAAGCAAAGCTACAAGCAGAACTTCCCTTTTTATAGAAGAGCCAGCCCTTTGTGTGCTTGCTGGCGGCGGCCTTGAAAACTACACAGTTCTATCCAATTAAAAAATGCACCTGGCATGGCATTGAGTGTCTCTAGTCTCTGGCCTACAAGGTCAGACAGCTAAGTTTATCTCCCCCACTATTCAAGCAGGCTAGAAAGCAAAGTTACCTTTTCAGAATTAGATAGAGGCCGTCCAAAGAATAGCAGAGAATTCCAAACAGTAGTTTTACAAAATAGGGGTTTACCTTCACATTCCCCCTCCTTGTCCCACAAGCTTTTCAGCCTTGTGGTACAACTGCGGGATGTTATGGTAAACAGGGGTGTTGATCGATCTTTTACTACTTCCTGCTGAAAAAGGACGATGTCCAAGGGATTAACATTCTGTTTCTTCCTCTTGGAGAGGTTTGTAGGGAATTCTTCTGGCTTGTAAGACCATTTGAAGTTTAAAGGCATCTAGACGTGATGAGATAAAGCAAGTTAACAGATTGAGAAGACATGGTCCTAGGATTATGGCCATGAGTAGCATTAACAGTGGTCTTGTCAATGGAAGGAGCCATTTCCAGATACCCCCCCCCCACCCGCCCGCAATGCAGCCCATGTCTCAGATAACTCCTGTATTATTCATCTTGTTCCTTTTCTGTGTGGGAAGCAGTAATTTTATGGTGTTTCTGTATTCCAACAAGGGCAGAAGAATTCTCCTCCTGGGATTAGCCTCAGAAAAAAACAAAATGAGAATTACTAGAAAGATAAAAACAATGATTATCCAGAAATACCAGAGCATTTTGCCTTTAAGAGAAGATAAGAAAGAAAGATTAGTGTAAGGAAGAATTCAGCAGGGTGTTCTCTGAATCCTTTGGAGCAGGTTGATTGGCCAGGTCCATTGTCTTCTTGAGAGTGACCTGCAGCGGGTGTGTCTGGTCAGAGGTCACCTTCTAGTCAGGCTCCTTTCTGTCCTGGGCACAGAAGGGGGTGGGCTTGTGACCTGTAGCAACTCTACCTGGGCCCATGCCCTAGGCTTTAAGGCCCATCTCAGTAGCCCTCCTACTTGTTGCAGCCCAGAGTGCATGGGGGTTCTGCAGGGATGCAGAGGCATCCTTATTGCTCCGCTTCTACTTTGTCCAACCGCCAGTGATAGTAGGGTATGGGCCTGACGCTCCAGCACCAGCCATCTTCAGCACTCCCAAGCAGGATACCAGGCTTTTCCGTGGCACTCTTATTGGCTTCAAGTCTTCAGAGTCCAGACAGGTCTCTTTAAAACATGATACTCCAGTCAAAGTTTTCAGTTAATAAAACCACTATTAAGAACCAGTCTTATTGAATATATGCAAAGAAAAGTATTGCCATGATTTATTAAGTATTGCCAAATTTCGGAAGAATTATATAAGGAGAAAGACATATTGAACTGCTCCAAGATTTCCTGATTTTCTTTGTCAGTCCCTTTTCATGGACTCTTCAGAGTAATATAACTGTCTTCAAATGGCAAGAAGAAATTTACAATGTGTCTATATTCAAATAGACAGTTACAGTTGTCCCTGTAATAGGGCTCCCCTTACTTGACTTGTTCTCTTGGAATGGACTAAAGGAGCATTTTTCTTTACAGGGTCTTACATGTCACAGGACCTCACAGGGTCTGTAATTCCTGTAACAGAGGGCTAGTATTCACTACTTTACTATTTCCCTCTGTTCTAAACAGGCTTTCCCAAGTTTCCTACAGTTGAGGGTTTGTGCCACCCCTGACATGGGCATGGTCATACAGGCCTGTAAGACAGTATACAGGCTGCCAACTGCCAACTGTCTCTCAATAGAGACCAAAACCTAATGGGTATTCTTCTTTGCCCAGTTGGGCACCTGCCCTCTCGGCAGCTAAGCACCCTCTACTTTTGGGGTTCACCCCACATAGTCTCCTTTCAGGACAGCTTACACATAGCCATAACAATGGCCCTCAGTGTGGGAATCTGGACACTTGCCAGTTACTCCCAAAGACTACCAAGGACTGTAGACCATCACCGGTCTACAGCAACTGCTGGCAGGTACAGCTACATTCAAACCTGTAAGAGAATCAAAGATTAATACAACATATTAATACAATGAAATATAATATTGGCACCATGGTCGTTTCAGGTGCTAAATCTTCTATTATTATAAATTTTTTTGCAGGCCACTGTCAGGGCTGTGCATTGCGGCCATTTCTTTCTAGCTACAAACACAGTCTGTCCAATTTCCTTAAAATGTATTCTGGCACAGGAGAAAGTTGTTTTGCTGTACACAGGTAGCTTAACCCCTAGCAAACTGCAGTCTATAGATTCAATGTGCAGCCTCCAGTCCTCCTAACCCAAGGAGGTTTCGGCCAGTCTCTGAGTCAGACTCCTCCTCTCTTGGAGAATTTCAAAGTCCTGATGGCTCCCAGGTCCAGGGAGAGTGCCTTTCCTTTGCCCTTTTATTAACCCTGTTTATTAGTTACAGGGCCCTGCTTTCCTTGTCTTCCCATCAGTCCCCTTTGTGGCAGAGCAGCAACCAGGCCTCTTCCAAGGGAAGAGGATATCAGCCCCTCCTCTCTTCCAGCAGCAACAGGTACTGGACCTTTTCTATACATTTGCAAAAGGGAGCTTTAACTAGCTCTATCTGTAGCTTTCATAGATCTCAGGCTCTCTGTTATACTTGGGCTGCAGGAAGGCTAGTAGCAGTCACTGGCTTCTGTTTTAACTGCTGCAAGCCAAAGACCCGAGTCTTGTATTGCTTGTTGCAAAACACTCATTACTCACTGGGCAGCAGAAGGGTAGCTCTAGTGGCAGGTAAATTTCTGCTTTCCCCTGCTTTTCTCGCTGCTGCTTCTTCTTTCAGGGCCGCAGAGGGCAGCTCAGGCCTCCAGCCCCCTTTCCAGCCCCCTTTTTTTTTGACCTGGCTCTCAGGGGCTGAGTCTGCCTAGCAACCAGTTCTAAATCACTTGGGCTGCTGCGGACGCCAGCTCCGTTTTCCCTCCACTTTGCTCCTGGGAGTTTAGTTGTTATTAATGTATTAGAATTCCTTATTCTTAGAAACCTTAGTCTTTTAATGATTACCAAAAGTGAGCAATCAGCATTGGAAGGGTTAAAAAGAATAAACCAGGGTAGAGAAAGATTAATTGTGCTTACAGAAAACTTGTGACCTTGAAGTTAGTTGATAAGGCACCTGCTAGTAAGCTACAGACAAGACCCTTACACATGCAGAGCAGTCTGCAGCCAGTAAAATAACTGCCGACACCCCGCCCCTATCTCTCAGCCCAAGCCCGTTGCTTTCCCTCACAGATTTTTCCTCTTTACTCTTGATCTCTCCGACCAATTCTCCTGTTCCCCAGTCCAGTTGTTTGTCTCCCTTTAAACAGTGGGAGTTTTGGAGAAAAGCAGACTACTGCTATAGTAGTCCTCCCTCCTGGAGGCTGGTGTCTGACCTGTGGGGAAAAATGACTCTTAGTTGGCCTGGAAAGATAGTGGATGAGGATAAGTTTGCATAGGGAGATTTCTTACAGACCGAAAGCCTGGAGGCCTCTTGAAAGAAAAGATCTTTAATCCAGTTACAGATGCTTTCAGAATCAGGATGAAGGAGGAAGGGAAAGACCAGGTTATGTACTCTATGAGGATCCTAATAGATAACTGAAAAGGGCAAGTCAAACAAAACATATAACCACAAAGACAAAGACAAAAGACTGAACAACACACACACAACCAGGGGTTGACGGGGCCTATAGACAGTTAATAATAACTTCAGCCTTAGTTCCTTCTCAGGTGGCTCACGTTGAACTATGATGTCACAGGCAGGGTCAGGGCCAGTAAATCTCTCCTCCCTGCAGAGCTGTAAGCCCTTTGTGTCCACCAATGAGAAAAGAAAACCATAAATAACAAGTTCTTTGAAATTTACTACTTTGTTGATTTGCTAAGCAAATAGTTAACTTGAAAAGACTTCTCTCTTGCTTTTCTTATAAGCAATCTTGGAACCTAGCCAGCCTTTAAATCTACCCTAGAACTTCAACATTTTAATTTAATACAGCAAATTTACAATTCAGGTAAGAACAACTGAGAGATAGAAATTTTTATTAGCTAAGTGGGCTGATGCCCTCTGTAATAGTGAGCAAAAGACTCTGAGAAAAATAATTCTCACAGCTGCTAGAGACTTTTGCAGACCATCACGGGTACAGTCTAAACATTCAGCCAGATGAATCAACAGAAATGCAAAATAAATCAAAGTAGCTTTCGCTTCACACAGACCAGTTAATGAGCAGCCAAGAAAGACAAACACCCGTACTCAAACTCTCTCAGTAGACTAGCCCCGACCGGAGCTGAGCAGATAAACAAAACAATGCCAAACTCCCCAGGTGGACGTGGGGGCACTCCTGGCACCCATGTCCTAGAACAGAATTCTCGACCAACGTCTTGGTGAGAACCTACTGGAGGAGTTAAGACTGTGTCCAGTCCTCCTTCTCAGTAGCAAATTGGCTAGTCCCACACAAACAAACAGCTGTTCACTCATACTTCCTCAATGTTTCAGCATTCATTCCAATTCCACAATCTCTACTGTACCCCTTTTAAAATTTTCGAACATGCAATAAGAACAGTAGGTTTACTTTGTCCCTACCCCATGATGATGGGTGATGAGAGACAGACAAGGGAGGGGGTGACCTGTTTTCACAGATCCTCACTCATATGCCCACCTGGCTGCATCCCTTGGGAGCTTAGATTCGTCTTAGATAAGGTGCACCCATATAAACCCCGGGCCTGTTCACCTCCATGTGGGGATGAGTCATTGTTATGCCATATGACGAATAGCGGAAACGCAGGTTGGGGCCCACTCGGACTCCATAACCGAAGTCGTGGAGCCACACAAAGGAGAGGAGAAGGAAGGCCCCCTCCCTCCATACTCACACACTTTCACCAGACATTCACTCAGAGTTTAAACAAATTCCCAATTCCTAACAAATTCCCAATTCCAAATAAATTCCAAATTCCAAATTCCAAACAAATTCCCAATTCCTGAGGGATTCCCAATTCCTGAGGGAGCTCTATGGCTCCCCTGGGGGTGATCAAGCTCCCCTTCCACTCACTCTGAGCGGGTCAGACTATAGGGGATTGGGGCCCCTACCTTACAGAGTCTGCAGACAGGTCCAGAAGTGTCCGTCCATGCTCTCCAGATGCCGGCTGGGTCCTGGGCTGAGATCCGGGAGCGCCCGGAGCTCCCCCAGTTCAATTCTGCTAAATCAGCAGAGCAGTGCCTCCTGGGGGCCTATCCAGCTCCCCCGGTCCTCAAACCCAGTCCACACCAGAGGCCAATAGGCCACAATGGGTGGTACCCCGGTCTTCCCAAAATGGCAGGGAACCAATTACGTTACAGAAAAACCGGACAAGAACCAAACAGCGCTCTGAGAGTTTGGAGTTAGACTTTATTCACTGCAGTTGGATTAGGGAAATGAATCCAAATCTAAGCACAGCTACAAGCAGAACTTCCCTTTTTATAGAAGAGCCAGCCCTGTGTGTGCTTGCTGGCGGCGGCCTTGAAAACTATACAGTTCTATCCAATTAAAAAAATGCACCTGGCATGGCATTGGGTGTATCCAGTCTCTGGCCTACAAGGTCAGACAGCCAAGTTTATCTCCCCCACTATTCAAGCAGGCTAGAAAGCAAAGTTACTTTTTTTTTTCAGAATTAGAGGCCATCCAAAGAATAGCAGAGAATTCCAAACAGTAGTTTTACAAAATAGGGGTTTGCCTTCACACACTAGCTTGGAACTAGGCTGTAGACCATTGAGTAAGGCCCGACCTCTACCTCACATGCTCCTGAGGCCCTGATACAAAAAAGACAGGCATCTAACCTGCCCCTTCTATCCAAGGCCCCTAAGTCCCCCATACAGCCGAGATGGGAGCTCTGGTGGACTCTCAATCCCTGGTCTCTTTTATGCTTCCCAAATGCAATCAGAGGGAAAAGTTGTTCTTTGAAAGCAAGACCTCTTTGTTCTCTGGGACTAGCCTATGCCTGGCTTACTGACATAGCAAAGTTCATCTCTGGGTGACTTCCTGTTTTTATTTAATACCTTTTTTTTCTATTTAACACTCCCCCAAATTAAAGACAATCAATAACTAACAATAAGGGTTCGGAATAATTGTTAGTAGCCAAAGTTTCCTCTTCCTTGCCCCATTCCTTTCAGTTCATAATCCTTGAGTCCTAGAGGCAATTGGACAAGCCACTCTAATAAAGCCAACACCTGGAGTCTCCTGGCTGCTTGCCAGCTGATGCCTCTTCAGTCAGGCTGTCATGCCGTTGTCTCTCTCTCATCTACTTGGCAATTGTTTTCCGGGCCACAGAATATGGTAATTCGATGATTTATTTGAATGACTCTAATGGGAGAGATCTTTCTAAAAAAAAGTTCTTGACATGTACACGCCTGCCACCACAAAGCCTCCAGAAAACATTCTTGAAGTTATTGATGGTTAATTCAGTCTAGCAGTCTGGATGGGAAGGACAGGATGAGCTGCAGTCTGTAGCCTTGGGCTCAGCATTTTGAGAGACAGCTTATGGCTCTCTCTCATGCAGAGCAGGGAAGTGGACCATATTTTGTCTATGGAAATCTTGTCTTCAATAGTAACATGGGATGAAAACTCTAAGTGTTGGCTCATGCCAATTCTTAGAATTTCTGGATTAAACTTTTAAGGTGTGTATTGTTATATTGAGATCCTTATAAAAACTTAAAAACCTTACATTTAATTCCTGTCCATGAAACTGACAAGTATAATGAACCGTGACCTCAGAGGACGCATTAATACACTTGAGTTGTTTTATACAACCAAATACTGTAGCAGGCTTCTGAGTGTTAGTTTATTTGTTTGACCTAGATTGAATTACAAATGCTACTAGAGACTACATGTCTTCAGGCCCAAGTTCAACAGTGATGGACTCTGCTTGCTTCAGAGTTTAAAATAAAATACCAAACCTGTATACTAGTGATACAGAGTTTTTGGACTAGAACCCAGGTTCTTTGTCCACTGGAATTGAAGAATGAATCCACAGACAGACAGTGGTATGACAAAGGTGGAGATTTATTGAAGAACAAATACAGACTCCCATGAGGGGAAAGGGAAAGAGCCCCACAGAATGGACTCCCATGTAGGGAGGGGGAAAAGATCCCACTGAGTTCCTTTCCCTCTGGCTTATAATGGCTGCAGATCTTGGTGACTTAATATCCCCTCTGATTGGTCACTATTCCCTTGGACTGGTTACTATAGTAACTCCTGGGCTCAAGATTGGGACATGTGAAGTTCTCCCTCATCTCATTCCCTATTGTTTTCCTATTCCCTTTGGGCTTTCTTCCTCTCCTTCTGTTTGAAGGGCTTCCTTCTCTTTATTTTATAAATATAGACCTTTTCTGTTCACAGCTCCCTCATTCTATGGAAATGTGCCTGTTGCAGCTTTTCAGCTCCCCTATTCTATGGAAATATACCTTCTGCTGCTCTGCAGCCCTGTGCTTCCTCCATGGTTCCCTTAACTTCCAAAAGTTCTAATATTTCCTAAACTTGTCCTATTTCACCCCTAAAATTCCTGTTTCACTAGAATAAAATAATAATAGAATAGAATAATAATAAAAAATTAATACATAAAAGACTAAATACATTATAAAGCCCTCACAATTACACATATGCTTTTGTTTGTTTTTTCTTTTCCCTTTTTAAATGTCTCTTTATTACTGAAAGTATTACATATGTCCCATTTTTCCCCTCTACCCCCCAGTCCTTCACCACACTAGTGTCTGTGTCCATGGGTTATGCATATATGTGTATCCGCTTTTGAAAGAAGCCCTTCTCTAGGTGGAAGGGACATTCCCCCCAGCAGGAAGGACACGCTTGTCTGGAGGATGTCCAAGATTGTGGCCTGAGCGGTGTTCTCACTAACATTCACGCTGCTCCTTGTACAGGTTTATTACTTTCTCTTTAATGTGGGATGGGGTAGGAATAATTGGATTTTTTTTCAAAAATAAAATATTTGCAAACAGAAATCACATTTGAATATTAGAAATTATAAAAGAATTTTAGCAACCCCAGGAATCACAATAAGCATTAAACCAAGCTGAGATAAACTACTGCATCAGCAGAGATAGAGAGTGGTAGGCAGGAGGCAGGGGTAGATCCTGTCATGATGTGTTCTGTGGTTCCCTGGGCTCTATCTGCACATGGAGTCCCCAGGGTGATCCTAGGACAACTAAGGTCTACAAGCCTAGCAGGCCAGGAAGCTGGGTGAGATGAGCTGTTAGAACAAGTAAGGTCCTGGCCAGGCCTTTGGACATATCATAGATGTAATTCTGAGGTTCCCTAGTATAATATTGAGGGAATTGTGTGGGGGATAGAAAGAATACTAGGTATTTGATTGCTTATTTTATTAAACAAACTCATATATAAACACATACGATGTACCAAGCATTGATATTTAGTCAGAGTGATAAGTACTCAAAATGCTACCCATATGGTTTTGTCTCATCTAATACCAGTCCCTTCCTTTTTATATCATTTGAAGGGGTTTCCTGAATGTGTCCTTAGGTAACAGGTAAACTGAGCTTTTTCAAGTTTATCTAAACTCCTATTTCTCACATTTCTTTCAGCTCCATTCCAAGACTGCCAGAAACTCCTTTAGGGCAGCAGGCTGTACTATAATATCTATTATATTGTAATGAGAGGATTTGTTTTCATGCTAATTCATACTATTAGATGTAACATAGAAATATAACTCCCAATCTTAACTGCAAACACTATAATTATATATAGACGCCCAATGGTCATTAGGAGATGATGTTTCTTAAGTTAAGAGTGTTCACCAAACTTGCAAATAGCTTGGGAACAGAGGAGGTTTTTGCTGAGAAACATCCCCGCTAATGAGGGAACATCCCAGGACCCGGGGTGTCTTTACATTGCCAGAATCTTCTGGAATGATAAAGGAGAGCATGCCTCTTTTTAATGTATAAAAATGTTCAGAAAGCTTGGTTTCCTTAGAGACTAACAATTTGTTGCTTCTATAGAGCTTCAGTGTTTAGCATATGTCTTAGAAAGATGTTTATTAAAAATATTATGAAAAAACTAATGGAAATAAATGAGTAAAATAGAAAAAATAGAAACTAAAACATTTATACAGGATAATATCGCCTTTTTCTTTTAAATAAAGAAAATCAGGGAGTGCCTTGATTGGTTCATGTAACTAACCATCAAGGTTTGTTCCTAGACAAAAACCTTGTTAATTAGATCTTGGAAAACCTCTCTTCTATTGTTTATGAGTTCTTTTTTAAAAAAATAAATTTTATTTATTTTTTACAGAGAAAAAGGGAGAGGGATAGAGACTTAGAAACATTGATGATAGAGAAACATAGATCAGCTGCCGCCTGCACACTCCCCTCTGGGGATGTGCCCGCAACCAAGGTACATGCCCTTGACCAGAATCGAACCTGGGACCCTTGAGTCCGCAGGCCGACGCTCCATCCACTGAGCCAAACCGGTTAGGGCTGTTTATGAATTCTTACTCATTCCTCAGAAAGGAGGGGTGCTGGACTTTTCCAGTCTCTTGCAAAATTTGTCAAGTGATGCCAAGCTATGACAGATACAGTAAGGTTTCTTTAAGGACTGGGTCAGAATGAGTCAGAAACAAACTTCTTCAAAAGGGAGGAGTTATTCCCTCACATTTTAAAACATGGGTTGAAAATTTAGTGTCAGTTCATCAGAAATTTGGAGGCAAGGACGTCAAGTGTATGTTAGAATCTCCAAGCAAAATGTTGTCCCCCTGGCCCTGGAATCAGTACTCTGGTGACTGGTAGCATTTCTCCTGGACATAGCTAACGCCACAGATTTTAAAGGAATTGTAGAAGCCCATTTCCTCTGGACAAGTTAAGAATTCAGGCTGAGGTCCCTGAAAAAAATAATGCCTGGATGTTACAGGATTGAGGATTCTTTTAGGTGCTTAGTGTTCGTCTGTGTCTGTGTTGTGTATAAATTAGGAGCAGACTTGGCATTTTCTACCATACTATAAAATAAATGGCTAATATGCAAATTGTCAATTCCACTGGATGTTCCACTAGCTGGCAGGGCCAGCCAGCCAACTGCCCACGGCCCTTCCCCCTCACCCGGACAGCCTAATTGGCCTTGATTGAAGTGGTCCAGCCAGACCCCACCCGTGCACAAATTTGTGCACTGAGCCTCTAGTCCAATATAATAGCTACCAGCCACATTGTGACTACAGAGTGCTTGAACCCATGTTAAAATGATAATAGTTTGAATATATTATGTCAAATAAAATATTATTAAAATTAATTTCATCTGTTTTTCTTTCCTTTTATGATGTGAACATTAGAAAAAATTTAATTGCACATGTGACTTAATTGTGTTTCTAATGAATAGCACTCTATTAAATATTTATTCAATATACTCTTGCTCAGTGACAAGAAACTGTCCACTTAGATGAGTGAGTGCAGTAGAGTAAAAAATATCAAGACTCAAGCTGTTTTAGCTGAATACAAAAAGGCCAAATTTGACCCAAGTCACTAAGGAAGGTGTTTTCCTCTTAATAATCATAATCTAGTATCACATTTTTGGGTGGATCTGCTACCAAGAATTTCTCCTTTTTTCCCCAATCACAATACACTTCTTCATATTAGAGATTAAATACAAAAAAAAAAAAATTCCTACATTTAAAAGTGTTTAAAGAACTTTTCATGACTTACCTTCTCTGTCAGTATGTCTTAGGTGATCATGGGTAACAGATGCAGATATTAAAATTACATCATGTGATGTCATGTGATAGATCCTGCAGTTCCTCCAGAAGTGACTGGGCCAGCTGAGTCAGCAGAAACTACAGATACCCTCAAGCTTTGTCCTCCTGAAGAGTTCCTGAAAGTGTGTCAAGAAAGGGCTGGAGAGGTACTGTGTTCTATCCATAAAATAGAGACAGAGAGAGAAGCAACTGCTTTCACTAAGTACTTGATTCCCTAAAGCACTAATTGCAGAGTGGTGGGGTGGGGACAGTGGTAATCATTTTCATAGATGCTTTGAGCAAGGAGGAACTCATATAGCCTCACACAGATTTCAATTTTCTTTCAACCCCATGATAAAATACAGATCTCTCTCTTCATTTATTTGTTCAATCTATTTGAGACTTATTAAAATTAAGCTGTAGCTATAGATTAAAATATTTAGTAATTATTTTCATACTAGTTGAAAAGCCTAGACACAAAACATGACTTAAAACACAATTAAAGCCTGAAACCCATTTTATCTTGATGTGTTAAAAATAATACTGAAATAATGATGTTACCAAAGGCAAAGCATCTCTAATATATTTATTTTTAGCCAGAGCCAATAGAAAATTCTCCTGGTTTTTATGAAATTTTATCTGAACCTTGAACACTGAGAATGATTTGTCTAGGTGGAGAAGAGAGAGGAGAAAGTTATGGTAGGACTTGTTCTAGTCTCTTAAGATTCTTGAGTAAGCATCCCAAATATGTTCTAGGTCCACTTCTGGGCTCTTAGAAAATAAATTACATAATTTTATTTTTCAGTTTATTTTTATATAATTTGAAAGTTCTAAATCACTTTCAATTCTCACTTCTTCCTTTTGTTAGTTCAATCCATTACAAAGAAAAAGGCAGTGTCTCTGGTACAGGAGAGGGGAGAGAGCAGATCCATGATCCTGTAACAAAGCAACAGAGATTAGTACATGAAGGTTTAAAAGAGATTTAGGTAAGTCAAACTCACTGCATATCCATTTCCTGCAGATCTATCCAATAAAGGAGAGAACAGCCCGCACTCGCCTGGCTCTCATCATATGCAATAGAGAGTTTGATCACCTTCAGCCCAGGAAAGGGGCTGAACTTGACATCACAGGGATGAGAGAGTTGCTTGTGGGCCTCGACTACAGTGTGATTGTGAAAGAGAACCTCACAGCCAAGGTAAGGGCTCCTCACGCACTGTATACAACCTCCTCCTAACAAACTAACTTTATAATGATAGCCAAATACTTTAACAACCTTAGGCCACATATCTCTCTTCGTGTGCACCTGCACGTGAGTATGCGTGTTTGTAAAATGAAATTATTAGATAGGGGAAATCTCTGTCTCTTTGTGCTCCAAATATCCTCAATTCCATAAAACTAGACAGAAAGTGCCTGGCATGTATATCCACATAATTCTCACTTCCAAAGTGAGGTGAATGGGATTCAGACCCAATATTCCCAGAAAATTCTAAAGTAATGAAAGTTTAAAAGGCATGTAGTCACCATACAAATACTAAGTCCTGACTTGGTCCCAGGGCCTATTTTGGCACTGAGGGCAGGTCTGTGAATGAGCAGGACGTTCCAAGTTCAAATTGATTTAGGTTTACTGGTGGGGGAAAATCATATGAAAAGCAAAACAGAAAATTTCAGAGATTTGATGTGTCCCGTGTCTCTCTGTAAGAGTGAAAATAAAGTGAAAAGTAATTGAGAAAAGAAATCACAGGAGTGAATTGGGGAGTGGGGAGTAATTGCTTGGATGGAAAGGTCAGAAAAGCGTTGACAGGAGACAGTATAGGACCTGACAGGTGACAACCAGTAACAAGACAGGTCTGGGAATATGTGAATGGAATTCATTCTAAGAGGGATGACTACAATGAAGAGTCTGAACTACATATGAAACTGGCACATGAAATATACAAAAATACCAGTGTAAGGAGAGCCTAGGAAGGATGACAGGAGGGAGAGCACATATGTGAGAAGTGTTATCTCATTCTAAGCACAGTGGGAAGGGTTGTTGAATGGAAGGTATGATACATCGATGATGCAGGGGTCCTATTAGGTAATCAAATAAAAGACAGAGATAGAAAGAAAAAATATGTAAGGGAAAATAAACAAAGATAAAATACATCCAGAGGACAGCTCATATAAAGTTAACAGGAGCAGGTCCTTGAACCCCCAGCTCCATTGTCAGAAGAAAAAGAAACCTATCACTGGACAACCACTATCTGAAGGCACAGTGACTGGAACATGACAGGTGTTTCTTATACTGCTCACCATAAACAGGGGGTCAGATTGGTGTTAGTGCTTGTCCTGTAGAGTAAGACTCCGTGGTCTTTTTCAGGAGATGGAGAAAGTGCTGGTGGAATTTGCTGCCTGCACAAAGCACTGGACCTCAGATAGTACATTCCTGGTGTTCATGTCCCATGGCCTCCTGGATAGACTCTGTGGGACTCAGCACAGCGATGAAAACCCAGATGTGCTATCTTATGACACCATCTTTCGGATATTCAACAATCGCAACTGCCCCAGTCTCAAGGACAAACCTAAGGTCATCATTGTCCAGGCCTGCAGAGGTGGTGAGTTCTGATATGGAAAAACCAAAGGGCATGAGGTGTTTGCAATGGATTGCGATGTATGTCTTGCTTTTAGGGGAAACAATCCTAGACCCCATTTAGTGCAAATACCTTATTGAATTCTTGAGAAATGCCAAGGGGAGTTAGTATCATAAGAGATTGTCTTTTCAGCTAAGAAATCTATTTGATTTAATCCAAGGTAAATTGTGAAGCAGATCTTCAGACTACCTAAATCAAAGTTGGACACAAATATCTAAATCTTGGAATAAGATTATTTTAATGACAGCTTCACTTGGACATGTCTTACACGCATTTTGGCATTCTCTGGCTTGAGAAAAATTTCATTGCAAATTGAGGCTGTTCTATAGTAGCAGTACCCCTTTCCCCTCATGCATTATTTAAAGGGAATTGAGTAGGTTGATGTGGTCACTTCGAATTGCTGTCAACATTTCTTTTGCTTTTTTCTGACTTCCAATCACCTCTTAGCGTTTTGGAGTAGTGTTTGGAAGAAAAAGCAGAAATAGCCTAGGTGAAAAATGGTAACTAGGCTCTGAAATTATGCAGATAAGATTTGAATCCTTTGCTCTTCTTAGGAAAGGGGTTCTTCCAGTTTGCTGATGCCATCACTATTTGCTGGTAAGATGCTGCCACTATTAATTGGCACATAAAGACACTAGAGGAGGCCAAGGTATGTGTGTGGGGCAAGGATTTGGGGTGTGTGTGTATGCACGTGTGTATGAAATTTCTGAGAAACATTTAAAAAGAATGAGGTAGACAATAGTGACAGTCATACTAATAGAGGCACACAGATTGCACAAAATTAATGTCTCCACAGAAAATCGAGGGGAATTGTGGGTCAGTGACTCTCCAGCAGCCGTGACAGACAGCTCTTCACAGTCTCCTGAGAACCTGGAGGAGGATGCCGTTCACAAAGCTCACGTGGAGAAGGACTTCATTGCTTTCTTCTCCTCAACCCCACGTATGTCTTTCAGTTACAGACAAGGGTTGTGTGCCTAAGGCCACCTCAGAATGATTCTGGAGTATTGAGATGGGCTCCCTGCAGCAATGATGTAAGACACATTTTGAGGGCTGTCAAAACAATTTACATTTTTCTGACCTATTCTATGGAAACAGAGATTCTATATTTTCCACTTTTTAAAACTGTACTTTTATTCTAAGTGCAGCACTTTATGGTCAAAGGTATACCACATACTAAAACAACCTAGTACAAGGAACCCCGTTCCCCATACACCACTTAAAAAACAAATTCGATTCCATTTTCAATCAAATCTGTTTAGCATTTTGATTAGAGTTTTAGTGGATCCAGACACTGGCTGCCATCCTTAAATTATCAGCTCCAACTCCTTTTCTCCATGATTCTCATTTGATGCTTTTTAGAGGGAGCCATTGCATGGCTCTGCAGGACCAGGAGATCCTTTAAAATATGTAGAAAATTATACCCTGCGGCTTAGCAGCTCTACTAATAGAGATCAATGTTTAGTCCTTGACCTCTAGGTAGTCCTCTAAGAAGCCTCTAACATTTGAATGTTTATACTTTGCAAATTTTTGTTTTAAGTCTTTTCTTTTTGTAACCACTTCATGGAGGTTTTTGTTTTTTTGTTTTGTTTTGTTTTGTTTTTTGTCCTCACACAAGGAGTGAAGATATTTTTTTCCCATTAATTTTAGAGACAGTGGAAAGGAGGGGGAGGGGAGGGAAAGGAAAAGGAGAGAGGGAGAAACATCCATGTGACAGAGACACATCAATTGGTTGCCTCCCACATGCCCCATGACCAGGGGGCAGGGATCTGACCTGAAACACAGATAAGTGCCCTTGACCAGGAATGGAACCCGAGACCCTCCAGTGTGCAGACAACGCTCTAACTGAGCAACACCAGTCCAGGCTCATGGAGGTTTGACTGACATACAAAATACTATATATATTTAATGTATGTAACATAGTGAGTTGGGATATAATAAACATCAGTGAAACCATGACCACAATTTCCTTTGGATTTGTTCACCCACTTCTCTTATAATATTGTGAAAGACAGGATGCTATACACTCTGTAAACCTGCTGGATACCAGGGAGCCATTTTTGTTGCTTACTGTATAAGTGTGGGGGAATTCTTTAATCCTCTGAGCGTCTATTCTTTCCTCTGTAAAATGGGGTAATTTCAGTTATCTCTCAAGCCTCTTTTCAAAACCAAGTGAATAAACATGAAGCCCACAGTAAGAGTCAGTTCCAAGAATATAATGCAATCATGAAATTCTCGTGAGTTATTCCTTTAGTTAAATCTCTGCCAGTTGGTTTTTTTTTTTTTACTATTTTCTCCTTTTTTTGGAAAATTAGTTAATGTAGAGATATAAGTGTTTCCCCTAAACATGTCAAGTTAATTTCAAAGCTATGCTTAAAAAACACAAAAGCTACATTAAAAAAAAAGACTGTGAGAAAAGAAAACATTCAAGGGTGCAGCCCAAGGCTGACCACTCCTTATCTTCACAGATAATGTATCCTTGAGAGACACTAGTAAAGGTTCTCTCTTCATCACACAACTAATCAGATGCTTCCAAATATATTCTTGGCATTGGCACCTCGAGGAAGTATTTCGGAAGGTAAGCTTTTTCTTCTTCCTTTTCTAGTCCTGTGTGTGTGTGTGTGTGTGTGTGTGTGTGTGTGTGTGTGTATGTGTGTGTGTGCATGTGCTGGAAGACTTTACTATTTTTCTTCTTTCAAATGACAATGTCAGGCTTTGTCAGGCAAACAAATGTAGATCAGTGCCTGGTTTCCATTATCCAGGGGTTGACAACTGATGTAGGAAGAGGAGAATTTAACACAAAATTGCACGAGGTCAAAATAGAACAAATAATTTAACCTGTAAGCTTATTTGTTATGAGCTATACATTTTTTAAGTAAAATAATGGAAACTATTTTGAGTTGACTTGTATGGCTTACTTTATTGAATAAATATATATTGGGTGTTATCGTACTTGGCAATTATTGCTATCCTGTGACACAGGTGTAAGTGAGATATTGTGTCATAAGGCCACTCAGGACCTTTTTGTGAGAGAGATGGATACGAAACAAGTAGACCAGGAAACACATGTGTCGCTGCAGATTGTGATAGGCTCCATTACACAAAGGATCTACGGCATGTGAAAGAACAAAAGGGAGAAGGTATTCTTTGAATGGAGTGGTCCAGAAAAGAAGACCAAATTCCTTTTCCACCTCAGGAAATTCCTCATTCCCCCGCCTCCCTCCTAATTTGTTTTCCTCCAGGGTTCTGACCACCACTTATTCGGCATATATTCTGTTTGTTCTTACCTGTACTTACTTGAATGCAAGCTTCATGAAGGTAGAAATGTGCTCAACACCTCAACATGCAGGCACGTAGGAATTGATATTCATTCAATAAATCAATGCATGAATATTAATACCTTTCTCCATTTAGGGTATTAAGAATATGGGGCAGTTTTATTTTTTACTACTTTTTAAAATATACTTTTACTGATTCGAAGGGGAAGGGAGAGGGGAGAGAGAGAGAAAAACATTAATGATGAGAAAGAATCATTGATTGGCTGCTTCCAGCATGCCCCCCACTGGGGATCAGCCTTGACTGAAATTGAACCCAGGGTCCTTTAGTCCACTTGGAGCCAATGCTCTATCCACTGAGCCAAACCAGCTAGGGCTGTATTGTTGCTTTTATTTTTATTTTTTTAAAATATATTTTTTATTGATTAAGATATTACATATGTGTCCTTATCCCCATGTTACCCCCGCTCCTCCCCCCCCCCGCTCATGGCCTCACCCTCCCCCCCCCCCGTTGTCCCTGTCCATTGGTTAGGCCTATATGCTTGCATATAAGTCCATTGGTTGATCTTTCCCCCTTACCGCCACCCTCCCCTACCTTTCCTCCAAGGCCAGACAGTCCAATCAATGCCTCTCCTTCTCTGGATCAGTCCTTGTTCATCAGTTTATGTTGTTCATTATATTCCACAAATGAGTGAGATCATGTGGTATTTATCCTTCTCTGACTGGCTTATTTCACTTAACATAATGCTCTCCAGTTCCTTCCATGCTGTGGCAAATGGTAAGAGTTCCTTTTTCTTCTTCCTCTTCTTAAAGAATGCCTTTCAGCATTTCATATAATGCTGGTTTGGTGGTGATGAACTCCTTTAGCTTTGTCTTATCTGTGAAGCTCTTTATCTGACCTTCTATTCTGAATGTCAGCTTTGCTGGATAAAGTAATCTTGGTTGTAGGTTCTTGCTATTCATCACTTTGAATATTTCTTGCCACTCTTTCCTGGCATGCATGGTTTCTGTTGAGAAATCAGCTGACAGTCATGTGGGTACTCCCTTGTAGGTAACTGACTGTCTTTCTCTTGCTGCTTTTAAGATTCTCTCTTTGTCTTTTGCTCTTGGCATTTTAATTATGATGTGTCTTGGTGTGGTCCTCTTTGGATTCCTTTTGTTTGGGGTTCTCTGTGCTTCCAGGACTTGTAAGTCTATTTCTTTCACCAGGTAGGGGAAGTTTTCTGTCATTATTTCTTCAAATAGGTTTTCAATATCTTGCCCTCTCTCTTCTGGTACCCCTATAATTCTGATGTTGGTACGCTTGAAGTTGTCCCAGAGGCTCCTTACACTATCTTCATATTTTTGGATTCTTTTTTCTTTTTTCTTTTTCTGTTGGGTATTTTTTGTTTCTTCATATTTCAAATCTTTGACTTGATTCTTGGGATCCTCTTGTCTGCTGTTGGATCTCTGTATATTATTCTTTATTTCAGTCAGTGTATGCTTAATTTCTAGTTGGTCTTTTTTCATATCCTCCAGGGTCTCACTAAATTTATCGGCGGTTTCCATAAAATTCTTGAAAAACCTTATAAACGTGGTTTTGAACTCTATATCCAGTTGTTTGCTTTCCTCCATTTCTGTCATTTGTGACCTGTTTCTTTGTCTCCGCATTTTTTATGCTTCCCTGTGCTGGTAGAGTGGTTTTATGTGCTAGGTGTCCTGTAGGGCCCAGTGGCTCAGCCTCTCCAGTTACCTGAGGTGGACACTCTTGGTGCACCCCCTTGTGGGCTTTGTGCACAGTCTTGTTGTAGTTATGCCTTGATTGTTGTAGGATCACTGGGAGGAATTGACCTCCAGGCCAATTGGCAGTGAGAATCAGCTGTGTCTGCAGTGGGAGAACTTCTGTGCTGAAGACACCCTTCTGGGGCAAGACTTGCTTCAGTGGGGCTTTGGTGCTCACTGAGTCTGCCCCCTGAGTGTGTCCCTTATGGATCTGAGGAGTTGTAATCTGGATGGTCCCACTCTGACCACTGGGTACACTGGCTCTTGGAACTAAGGAGGTGCTAATTTAGCCTCTGCCTGAGGTTACCCAGCAGGAGCTACAAAGAGAACTGCAGATTCCCCTTCCTTGTTTGGAGTTTGGAGGTGCCCAGATGAGGCCCAGCTGTGAAGCAATGCAAGCTGCTGTGGGGCCTTGGGCCTTCTCTTGGAAGTTCTGGGTCTGTCTGGCCCAGCTGCAATTTTTTAGGTAATTTTCAGGTTGCAAAGGGCCAGGACATTCATATGCAAAAGCCTCTGCTGCAGCCTGCGTGGGGCGGGGTCTCAGGGAATCAACAGGGCGGAGCAAGCAGCTATGGCAGATCCTCAGCCCTGCCCTAAGGGGCAGCACGTCTCAGTGTCCTGATAATTGCTGCAAGCACCTCTGAGGGGAAGCCGCCCTCAAGTTCTGAGTTCTCCCTGCTGCTAGACAGTCCAGTTTCTCCCCATATGAGTTCTGGGTCCCCAGAGACTTCCCGGAACTGGAGTTCAGAGCAGTTGTGAGCTTGTGACTCCCTCCCGATACAAAAGGACAGCTGTGTCCTCAGGTGCCAGCCCCTTTCTGCATGTGCTCGAGCCTCCTTACCTCTGCACTTTACTTCTGCAGCTCCTCTGGGTCTCAGTGTGCTTTTCTCTTTCCTTCTAGTTGTGGAATTTCCACTCAGCCAGCCGTCCTGTAGTTCTGGATGATGTCGTTTTGTTTTTTCATTGTATTTTTGAAGTTGTTGTGGGAGGCAGCAATTTCTGGTGTTTACCTATGCCGCCATCTTGGTTTCTGTATGGTTGTTTTTAAATTAAAAACTGTAGAGAACAGTAGCACTCTGTGAGCAAAGAGGAACACAACTTTAGTAAACAGGAGAAGATTGCACTGTAATGTGCATTAGGGTCTCTGTGAATGGGAACTTTGGAAAATAAGTTCTGTTGGATGAATAGGAATTAGACATTGTACTTTAGGGTATTGCTAGGAGAAGTCTAGAAATAGTTTCATCAGTGGGGAGAGGTCCTCATCCCCACCACTTGCTGGTGGGAGTGGGTGTGTTGCAATATCCTGAGAATTTTCTGAGGCTCACATTGGAAGGTGATATATTATAGAAAGCTTCATTTCTGTGCAATTATACCCCTGAGTTCCCTAGGTCGCATTTCCCTTTGCCCTGCCAAGAAAGAAGTACCAGTTTGTTTTCAGCAGATCTGAGATCAAAGCCAGTGTGCAGAGTTTCTGTTCCATGTCTCCACAGTCAAATGGAGCATCAAGCTAGCTGAAATTGTGTTTCCAGTTATAGTCCATTGCGTGTGAGATCCACATGGCTGTGGGTCATGCAACTATGGAGACAACAGGAGCTGAAACAAAGCCAGAGGGGCATGAGAGCCAAGAGAGCCACAGAAGAGAGGGAGCTTCTTTATCTGCTGGTTTATGCATTCCCAAATTGGGGCAGGCTTGCAATGGCCCTGCCTAGTCTAGCCAAAGACATTGATCCCCAGGCTTGACTGACAGGCGCTTTCCCTTGTAACCCCAACTCCTTGTGCATGCACTCATCTCCCATTAGTTGGATACCTTCCCCCAGTGGTCTGCAGGGGATGGGCTGGTGAGATTCCAGCTTCCTGGTGAAGCTGCCCAAATCACAAGCCTGAAGTGTCTTGCCTTTTCCCTTGCTCCTGTTCTATTATTAATAATTAGTTAATTGCAATGGTATCAATAAATTTCATTTATCAGTCCATGACAAAATCTTTAGATGCCAGCTTGTTGTTTAGGATGTGAAAGTTGTAGAGTTCAGGTTTTAGGAGCCATATTTGAGTTTGTGCCTTATTGAATTCAGGATTAATGTTGGAGGTTGAAGGTATAACTTTTTGAGATCCAGTTCTCATAAATTGATTCCAGGAATCAGTTAAGAGCTGTAGATCTGAAATGCAAAATAGAAAAGTGAACTTTGAAAGGCCTTGGGTTAGGCATGAGGTATTTATTTTGAGATAAAGAGTATATTCTGACATGGGGCGCTACTTCTAAACAGTAGGGTAACAGTGACAGAGTGAGAATATACATTGGCTTGGTCCCATCATTCCCAGAATATTTTGGCTCATGGTACAAAATGTTTTTTGAGAGTTCATAAGAGTTACGTTTCACCTAGAATGTCTTTTTTTTAAAAAGGTTCAACTATCATTCGAAAAGCCAGATGTTAGAGCCCAGATGCCCACCATTGAACGACTATCCATGTCAAGATATTTCTACCTCTTTCCTGGCAATTGAAAATAGTAAGTATCAAGGTTGTTGACAGGTATAATAAAGGGGAAAGTGATATTGGTGGTGAGGTTCAATGGCTAATGACAGCCAATTGCTTGGGTAGTCAAATTAATATTGCTTATTGATGTAATTTAGTGGTAAATGTTATTCTTTTCCTCTGCTTATATGACTCTGGATCCTCCTCATCTCAATAATTAATTAATCAGTCAGCCAATCAAAGAGATAAGTCAAACTAAGACAGGAAGTAATAAACAATCAAGAACACAGGGTAGTAATTAATAAAACATAAATGTACTCATGCTTGCATTATTACTTGATATTTCTCTCTCTCACTACACACACACACACACAAACACACACACACACACACACACACACACACACACACACACAAAAAAAAAAAGAGTTACCAAACATTGGCTCAGGTCCTGAAAAGCAAAAAAAAAACCAAACAACAACAAAAAACAAAAAACAAAAATCAAAACAGAAAACAGGAGATGAGTGTGAAGGAAGCAGGGTATTGGTCCTTTAAGTGCAGATATCACATTACTGACCTTGAGCTCCGGATACCAAGACAGTATAAAATATACCCTGGACTGTAATTCTTGTGTTGATGCACATTCTGGCTCTCTGACTGTTCTCTCAATGTACATGTCAGAGTCTGCTCTCTGATCCTTAATCACTGCTCTGAAACCTTTTTAAGCATCCATGTTAACACACATTTATTGTTTTGGTCAATATAGTTTAGAGTGGGTCCAATGAATTTATACCCAGATAATAATTTACTCACTCGTAACAGCTTAATATCACACTGTATTGTAAGTGTATTGTTAATCTCTCTTTCAACAGCATAATTAAAATTATATTTTATAGTAAAGTTTATCTCACTACTTTAAATCTTTGCCCACCTTCTTCTACTCCTGGTTTGTGATTCCCTGATAGTTCATCAGAATAGCTTTCATTGCCTAGTTAGTATAAGAGAACCAAATTAGGGATTGAGCTCTTTGACTAATATTTATCAAGCACTTACTATATTCCATATTCTGTCCTAGAATGTTGGAATATACCAGTAAACAAAATAAACGGAAAGCTTTTGCTTCAGAAAGCTCATACTCTAGTCAGTGGAGGCAGACTCTAAATACACAGACAAGTAAATATATGTCAGATAGTGATAAGAGCTAAGGAGAAAAATAAAGGAGGTTAAAAAGATGAAAGAGATGGGTGTTGTACTATAATGGATAGATTATTTAAGAAAGGCTCCTTTGAAGTGATAAAATAAGTCAGAACAGAGAGTGGGCAGAGTCGGGTAGTGACCCTTGTGATTCTCTGCAGAACAATGTTCCAGCACCCCTGGGACTAGCAAGCACAAATGTCCTGAGGCAGAACTGTGCTTAACATCTTTAAAGAACTGCCAAAAGGCAGTGGGCTGGGGGTAGGGGCAGAGACAAATCCAGAAAATGGTGATGAGTTTGGTCACCTGGGCTTTGGTGATCACATAGTAAACATTCTAAAGTTTTCATCCTGAGTGAGATAGGAAACCCTTTGAGTGCTTGTGAACAGAGCAATGAGAATTAATTAGATTTTACAAAGATCACCCTGTGTGCTTTTGGTGAATATACTGTAACGGTCACAGAACTCACAGGAAGTGGCAAAAGCACATGGAAGAAGATGAAAGAGGAAAGATGGTAAGGGTGGATTGAAGGCTTCTGGGAATTACTGTCCTCACCTTCTGTATTTTGTGTGTGTGTGTGTGTGTGTTTTCCTTCTTCAGGGAATTACAGGCAGTCCTGCCCTTCTTTACCAACTTCTAGAAGCACCTTTACCAGTATGGCACACCTATTTAACCATTTGTATTTAAATAAAAATCAAAACACATAAACTGTGTCTTTGGGTCTTTAATAGAGACTAGAATTTCAATTAAAATGGTGGGTGAATGAAAAATGAAGTGGAGTACGCTAACTGGGTTTTCTAGCTTAGGACTCATAGAATACAGTGGGATCTTGACTTACGAGTTTAATTTGTTCTGAGACCGAGCTCGTTAAGTAGCTCATTAAGGAGCTCATTAACTCAAATTACTCTGTCAACTCAAAGCAAAAAATTGGCAGAGTGACAGCTGGTATCCCAAAAAACTCGTTAGTTGGGACACTCGTAAGTCAAGGCCCCACTGTACCCGCATTTCAGAGTGACAAGAGCTGGCCTTGACTTTCCCTCAGCAGTGGGGTGAAAGATGGTGCCTTGATGGAACACAAGAACTGTAAATTGGTCAGCTTCTCAGTTCTATACCCATCAAACCCATAGTTTAGTTGGTTCAGAGAAGTTTTCTAATTTATTATTTAACCAACATCATAGATTCAGATAATAATTTTCATCAGTAAACTACTATTTCAGCAAATTATTCCCATGTATCTTTCTATCGGTTAATTCACTTTCTTATTATTTTCTTTCCAGATGTTTGCATATATCCAAACTTCAGGAAAATTTTATTCTCTAACAAGCTCTTCAAAATTGTCTTAAATAATTTGGCATTTCACCCTAACCGATTTGGCTCAGTGGATACAGTGTCGGCCTGCAGGCTGAAGAGTCCCAGGTTCGCTTCCGGTCAAGGGCATGTAACTGGGTTGTGGGTACATCCCTAGTGCAGGGTGCGCAGGAGGCAGCTGATTGATGTTTCTCTCTCATCGATGTTTCTAACTCCTATCCCTCTCCCTTCCTCTCTGTAAAAAATCAATAAAATTTATTAAAAAATTAATTTGTCATTTGGTTCAAAATGGGACAATCTTACTGTATTTGTATAGAAATACAAATATCATCAGATAAAAAATTGAAAGAGAATGGGGAGTGTCAACAATGGGAGAGAGAATATTAAAATTTCTGGAAAGGTGAATATTGGTAGAGGAATTTTGGCTCCATGGCTATCAGAACTACTAAGAATATGTACTACTTCTGTTATATACACATAGAATGTTGAATAAATATTTGAGTACTTAGCTGAACTGAATTAACATATGATGCTCTCAGTTTCTAATATAACCGTAATTGTTAATATTTATTAACATAATTGTTAATACCAATATTTAATATTAGTAAAATAATATTAATTCTATATTTTGATTACTGTAAAGAATTCTATATATAAGAAATCAATTTAACCATCACAGCAACCTTATAAAGTAATTACTATCAATATCTCCATTCTACCTATAATAAAACAAAAGAATATAGAGTTTAAATGACTTGCCAATTTGACTCTCTAGAATCTACATTATTGACCACTGTTTTGCATTGTCTCTGCAAAGCCATGAAAAACAGAAACTATAAGAGTTCTAAATTGTAAGATTTAACTGATTTTTGAATTGCAATGTTTGACTTACACTCGAAAGATTCATAATGTCTATATTTCTGTACTTAGTTGTCTGTGTAGGAAAATGAGACACATCACAATGATCCAAAATCACATATTATAGATAATTCATTCTACTAGTGTGAGATAATATCAAAAATCCAATAACATAAAGATTTTCACACATCACCACACAGTTGGGAAAAAAACACACACATGCAGGGGCAGAGCCAGCCAGGGAGGGGCTTCAAGCTGATTGGGACGGAGCATGCAATTAGGGGTAGGGCAGGCTTGGGGGAGGGGCCACAGGAGGTTGGCTGGCCAGTCCTATCTTCTGATAAGGGTGGTTCACTGGTTGCAGTGGACATCATAGCAACGGATCGTTCTGGTCATTTTATTTTTCTGATACTTTTATCATTTTTTCTACCCAAATTAATCTACAAACACAACAGAATAGCAAAGAATATCTAACCAGGTATTTTATTGAACTTGACACATTATTTGTACTCTTTGTTTAAAAGGTCAGGTACTAAGAATATTTTAAAAAAATAATTAAAAAGTGGTAGGGAGATTGCCTGAACACAAATCATGAAATCCAGTTGGTACGTGGGTAGACAAATAGATACACAGAAAATCATACAAAGGCTGGAAATGAACAATATAAAATATGTCATGTTGCATAGGTAAAATAATGAGTGATTCAAGATATTATTTTATAGAAACACACACACACACACACACACACACACACACACACACACACACACATTTTGTACCTGAAGCCATACACAAAAAAATATACCAGATGGAGTAAAGACCTAAATGTAAAAAGTAAATCTTTCAAGTTATTAGGAGAAAAGTTATAGAAAAATATACTAATGATATTTATGTAGGGAAAATTTTCAACAAGATTCAGAAAGCACATTGTCTAAAGAAACAGATTAATAAATTGAATATAAAATTTTAGAGCAGTGTGTACAATGTTAGACTTTGTGATGATGGTACCATGAGTGTAGGTATATTTCTAAACTCATCAAAAATTCACATGAAATAAATGCAATGTTTTATATATAAACTAGAGGCCCAGCGCACAAAATCCGTACACGGATATGGTCCCTCGGCCTGGCCTGCAATCAGGGCCAACTTCCCCAGCTGCCTGCAGCCAGCCCCTCCCCCCACCGCCACGCACTCCCAGTTCCCCATTCTCCATCAGGTGATCAGAGGCTGCTGGCCGGAGGGAAAGAACCAAGAGGTCGGCACTTCCGCCTGCTCACCGGCCCTGCCCCCACCACAGGTTGCTCTCTGTGTGTGGGGCTACTGGTGGGTCGTGGGCCTTGGCCTGGCACCATCTACTTCCCTCCCACATTCCCAGTTCCCTGTTTGCCATTGGGCAATGGGAGCCTGCCAGCTGGGGAAAGGGACCCGGAGGTGATCAGTGCATCTCATAGTGACTGATCGAGCAGTTGTTCTGGTCATTCTGCCATTAGAGTCAATTTGCATATTAACCTTTTATTATATAGGATAGAGGCCCAGTGCATGGATGGGGGCCAGCCAGCCTGCCCTTATGGGGGCCCCGGATCAGGGTGGTGGTCTCTGCTGGGGTGCAGGGATGGCCAGGGTGTGGGACCTCAGGCAGTTTGAAGGCTGGCCACACCCCTGATCAGGGTGGGAATCCCTGCTGGGGGGCAGGGCCAGCCCTGGTGAGGGGTTTGCAGGCCAGCCATGCCCCCGATCATGGTGGGTGTGCCCACTGGGTGGTAGGACAGCCGGGGTGAGGGGAAGCAGTCATTCTGGTCTCTGGTCATTTTGGTCTGGTCATTTTGGTTGTTCTGCCATTTGGGTCACTAGGCTTTTATTATATAGAATTATACATCAATACAACTTAAACAATAAATAAAAATGAATTCATAGATGGTAGATAGAAAAAATAGAAAGCTGCAGAAATGAGGGGAAGAACCCTTTACAATGCACATAATCATCAAAAGATCCATTCATTCAATCAACCTTAAGTTAAAAAACAAAACAACAAAAGCTGACTCGAGCCCAGCCCTGGAGGCCCAGTTGGTTGGAATGTCATCCTGTGAACCAAAAGGTCACAGGTTTGATTCCCAGTCAGGGCACATACCTGGGTTATGGTTCAATCCCTGGATAGGGCACATAAGGGAAGCAACTGATCAATGTTTCTCTCTCTTATCTCTCTCTCTCCAAAGAAACCATTGAAAGCAAGATTAAACAGAAACAACAAAAAAGCACCTGATTCTACATCAGACATTGACCATCTAAAAGAAAATAAAACAAAGCCCCTGTCCTCATGAAAACATGTAATCTCATAAGAAAGAGAAAGGTAATAATCAGAAATAAAATAAACACATAATTTATCATCAAAAAAAAAAAATGAATAAAGGGAGAGAGCCAGCCATGAGCTATATTAAGGGAGAACATTCCAGAAAGAGTGAAAACAAGTAGAAATGCCCTGAGATAATGTGCGTGGGCTCTAGCTGGTTTGGCTCAGTGGTTAGACTGTTGGCCTGTGGACTGAAGGGTCATGGGTTCAATTCCAGTCAAGGGCATGTACCTCGGTATTGGGCTCAATCTCCTGCTCCAGTTAAGGTGTGTGCAGGAGGCAAATAATCGATGTGTCTCTCTCACATGGATGTTTCTCTCTCTTAGTCTCTCCCCTTCCCTTCCACTCTCTCTAGAGAAAAAAAAAAATGGAAAATATATGCTCAGGTGAGGATTAACAAAAAAAAAATAAAAAATAAAAAAATAAAAGAATGTGCTTGGCATGTTTGAGGAGTAGCAAGGAAATTAATATGGCTAGAATCCCAGGGCAAACGACAAAGGGAAAAGTTAGGACATGAGATCAGAGAGGTGACCAAGATCCCAATCATACAAGATGCCATTACTATAAAATTGCTTTCATTTTTACTGTAAGGTAGGAAGCTATTAGAAAATTATGAGAAAAAGAATAAATTTAATTATCAGGGTTATATTTATGAAGGTCAATTTGGCTATAGGGTTAAGATGAGAATGACAATGATCAGGCCAAAGTTGAAGCAGAAGAACACATAGAAGGCTATTGCAAAAATTCAAAGTTGATGGTAGTCCAGACCTGGATGATAGAAGAGAGGGTAGTGAGCAGACTTCAAGTTTTTAAGGGATAGCCAACAGATCTAAATGAAGTTTTGAGAAAGAAAAAAGAACTATGTTCTACTCTGAATAACTGGAAACATGAAATTGGCTTTAATAACTCAAATACTAAAATACGATACACTCTCAGAAGTGGTTGGTTTGGAGGGATTGAAATGTCAAAAGTAGATGTCTACCAGACATTCAAAAGATACCCAGTTGACATTAGTTATATGAGAATGGCATTAAGGGGACAGGCATAAGCTGGAGGCTAACTTTTTTAGTGTCTTTACACACACACACACACGCAGTATTGAAAGCCAAGATACTGGAAACACTGATAGATAAGTGAGGAAAAATAAAGCAAAAATCAAAGATGTGAATAGCAACCAATGAAGTAACAGAAGAATCAAGATAAAGATGATTTGAAAGGCAAATGAATGTGAGGGTTTTCAGGTGAAGGTGCAAAAATCACTGTGAAATGATTCTAATAGGTCAAAAAATAATTGATCATTAAACATTTAATTTTAGTAACATTGAAGTCACTGATTGCATTAACAAGAATTGTTTTGATAGAGGGGGAGAAACGAAATAGTAATTGGAACTGGTTCAAGAAAGAATAAAAAAAACATTGTGGGAAAGTAAGGATAAATAAAGCTTTTGAGAAGTTATGCATAAGTGGGATTGCGAGAGTTCTTTTTAATAAAGGGGACTTATAGTGTTTTTAATGGTTATCATAATGACATGATTAAGAGGGAAAACGAATAATGTAGAAGAGCAATGGGACTATTGTAGAGCAATGTCTTTGACTAGGTGAGAGAGATTGAACAGAAGGAAAAATTGATGGCTTAGCCTTAGATAAAATTGCAAGAGTTTAGACCAGTGATGGTGAACCTATGACATGCGTGTCAGAGGTGACACGCAAACTCATTTTTTTTGGTTAATTTTTCTTTGTTAAATGGCATTTAAATATATAAAATAAATATCAAAAATATAAGTCTTTGCTTTACTATGGTTGCAAATATCAAAAAATGTCTCTATGTGACACGTCACCAGAGTTAAGTTAGGGTTTTTCAAAATGCTGACACGCCGAGCTCAAAAGGTTCGCCATCACTGGTTTAGACCAACTCTATGAGACCTGATAATGGTGAGCTAGTAGATCTTGAGATTAGAAAGAATATTCTCTGAATTCAATATTATTTGTTGT